GTGATCAAACTTCAAACCTTGTGAGTGATTACAAGTAGTGGATGCTCCTCCACTCTAAATAAGCCGTTGAATTCTTTTGAATTGTTATTTTGATTTTATTTTTTTGAACAGGCCGTACTGATAAGTACTGTTCAGTTGACTTTGTTTTCTTTGTACAGACCGTATCAATAGGTCCTGTTGAAATTAGTTTTGTTTTTCTTGGACAGGCCGTATCAAGAAGCCCTGTCGAATCGCCCTTTTGTATTGAGTTTCTTTTTGGACAGGCTGTATCAATAAGTCCTGTCATATCGACACAAAAAATTTGGATCTGCGATCTTGATATGATTGGCTACTCGACATTGTTTTGAAATTTCTGATTGGTCGCCAGATCTTACTGTAAAACAATTAGAAAACTATTAAAGTTTTGGTCGTTCCACCTAGAGGTTTCCACCAATATAGAACCTCTAGCGGAATTTCAGATTCCCCCTAGTAGTTTTCTAATAGTTTCCTAGTAATTCATTTGAATTTTGGCGAATATAATATGAATTTTGGCGAATATAATATGAATCTTAATGAAATTATTAGGAAATCCAAGGTTCCTGTAGAGGTTTCTGCACACACACCCCCCTAGTGTACTGACCCTTTTCTACCTGTGAGCATCGGATGCCGTTGGCGATGATTGTGCCACTATGAATATGTATCCTCTTTTGATGTCCTAGAAGAAGCAAAATATGAGTACTAATTCTAGTTTTAAAGGATTTAAATGTTTGAACAAGTCTGCAATGATATTCTTCATAAGCGAAAAATTCGAGAATCACAAAATACGTCATTTTGTTCCAATTATTCAAGAGCAAAATTCTCCAATGAAACTAACGATGCTTAGCAAAGATTCAATCAATGTCAGCAATTTCGATAATAATATAAGTATTCTTTCGGATGCACAATTGTCATTGTCCAGTATCAGATGAAATTGTACTCGCTGGTTATTATTGTCTCAACGCGAAAATCAATATTGATTTGATGATTCTGGAGATTCTTGTCATATGGCTTTAACGCAGCAGGACATATGGTTCATATGGAACTGCAAAGTGAGGCTTGAAATTCTATTCATCGAAAATTTGAAAACACGGGAATTGATAACGATAAAATGATAAAATATTTTCGGTATTATCAAAAGTGCTTAATTTGTCTGATGCTATTCACGTTTTCAGCGATTTCATTGGTGAAGGGAATACGGAATTAGTTTTCCAATATGTGTGACAATGTTAGATTTCTGATTTTTTAACGAGTCAAAGAAAAATTCTAAAAGTATATATCATATGAAATGTCATTTATCATTTGACAAAATGACATATTTTGTGTCATTTGCAAACATTAGTTTCAACAATAAGTCAACAGAGTGCTTCATACATTATTCATATTACGTATACAAATCACTAATTAACAATTAACTTGAGTCACAAATTAACAGATTGTGAATTCGAATTGTGAAATCATGTGTAATAAAATTTAAAGAATTTTACCCGTGAAACCATCTTTTGTGTTCTAGTAAAAATCGATAAATAATCTAGGTCCAAATCACCTAACAGATACATGTACCTAACTAGTTGTTTTCGATATTTATATTGTATAAATTATTATTGATATTCATATTATTTGATTATTTTTGATAATTATATTGTTTGATTACATTTAATATTTATATTGCTTGGTTATCTTTAATTTTTATCTGAATTATAATTTTTGCTACACTTGTTTTTGTTTTTAAATTAGATTTCTATTAGTTTAACTCAAGTTATATTCTAATAAATGTTTATTCTTATTGTTATTCTTATTTTATTTATTATTCCAATTATATTGCTATTTTTTTATTTAATATTCTAATTTTTTATTTATTATTTTTTAACCTTATTTCTACTCTTTTTTATTCACTATTTTGACTTTTTTAACTTAATATTTCTCTATTATTAATTATGATATTTCTTTATTATTAATTTTGATATTCTTCTACCATTAATAATAACATTTCTTCTCTATAATTTTAATATTTCTTCTTTTTAATTCTAATATTTCTTTATAATTTTAATATTTCTTCTTTACTGTTAATATTGTCCAATATTTCTTTACTATAATTCTGATATTCCTGCTCAATCATTAATTCTGATATTTCTTCATTATGATTTTGACATTCTCCACTACAATTCTGATATTTTTCATTTATTATTAATTTTGATTAATATAAAAGTATTTATATATATAAATATATAAAATATTTAAATGTATTATAATATAATAATAAATATAATTTTTATATCCAAAAAAATGATTTATTCAACTTTTACTTGTATTTTAACTATATTCTGAAAAAATAAAAAAATAATCTGTAACTTTTACTTGTATTCTAACTATATTCTGAAAAAACAAAAAAATAATCTGTTTAAATTTCACTTATATTTTGGAAAAGTAAACAGATCTTTTTTTATAAAATATCAGACTATATTCCAGAAAGTATTGGATATTTTTTTGGAAATTTGTTAACAAAACCATTGAATTTCTGGACCTGAATTGGATATTAAAAAACAGAAAAAACTCCAGAAATTTTCTAGTTAAAAGTGATCTGCTTTTTTTACACAAGTTCATATATTTCTTCTACAGCAGATACACTATCATTCATTTGCTGGCAAGATAATACTCAGAGTAGTGAAATCGTCATTGTAACAGCAACAAAGAAAAGAGAAAGAGTGAAAGGAAAATAAAATCCCTATTTGGTGTTTTTTATGGCAAAATTCCAAAAATTAAAACAGAGAATTGTAAAAAAATTTTCAAGTTGAATATAAACGATAAAAAACTTGAAATTCAATTCATTACTCTTCATTATAATCAGGTATCTAAACATTGAAATTATGGATCACTATTTCCTCTCTCACATACAAAGTGTGTTTTTCATATTTGTGGTAACATACAATGAGAATGCTATTCTCGACTAAACTATTATCACTAAAAAATACATGTATAATCTACATCAGGATAGGATCACAAATACAGTTCCCGGTGAAAGTAAGGACGGCAAGTTTTTTTATTATGTTTCTTTAATTGTATAATAAAGTTTATAAAAATTATTTTGAGTACATTATTCCCTAAAATATCAGCATTTAAAATGTCCTCTTTTCGTGTCAATGCAAATTCGAATATATTTTGATGTTCTAAAAATTTTGTAACTTGAACGGTTTTAACTAAAAAAAAACTAAACTACGATAAATATTATTCTTATTAAAATGAAATTACTACTCGTTTATTGAAGTGAATATACTAAGACCAGAATTACAAAATATGATCACTGATTATCAAGAAAATAAGTTTTGAAATTTTAAAAACCTGCAGTCGGAGAGAAAAATGACTTGCCGTATTAGATTTTCACAAATTCATCGCTTTTATTTTTTTAATTCTTATTATCTTGCTAGAATTTAGCACCATTATCATTACATTAGTATTGTAGTAAAATTTATCTAAAAATCACACCACTTACTTTCGCCGGTGACTGTAAATATAACGATTATGTAATTTATAATACATGTACATGCATTTGGTTCACAGATGATAACGATAAAAGAAACTTACAATAAACTTGTTTCAATAACTGTTGGAGAGTCACCAATGCCATATGTCAATTTGATAACATTGAACAGCGAAGTTCATGTATTACACCAAAAGCCTTCTATCGATGTTTGTCATATATTCAATCACCAAAAAGAAACTATGATTGAAATTTTCGATTGCTGTCCACAACTACAACTAGTTTTCTTCTTTATTTGCAGAAATTGCTTCTTATGGCTACGAAATTTCTACGGACGTCAGCGATGGTGTGTGATTAATGCAGGTAGGAATTTTAAATAGGTAACGGTAACACACCCAAGCAAATTTAACATTCCTGCGTGCGTTTAACATTCAAAAATGAAACTAACTTTAATGCAGTGTCATAATGAAGAATGCCTGTTTTTTCACCTGTTTGTATTTTATCCCGACAGAGTGCGATAAAATTTTTCGTGGAATATTGTTCAAATGCCTTAAAATGATTTATGCTACGTATATTCACAGTCAACTCTCTATAACGTTCTTTTAGTAAAAAAAAGTTCGTTATATACGTAGCTGTTTTTTATAGAGGCCATTACTATTTCTACAATGAACTTATATAAAATTTAAGGTTTGTTATATCCGGAATTTGTTATAAAAAGGTTCGATATAGAAAGTCGACTGTACATGCAGTATAGCATTCAGCTCATCGAAAATAATGGACAGGAGAGCAAATATACTGTATTTATTCGCTTCTTGTTTGATAAACAATAATTCCCTCAATAAAATTTTGTTTTAACAGCAAAAATGATATCGATATGGTTTTTTCATTACCGATTACACTAGGAAACTGGAAATTTTTAATATGTACGTCCATGTACACATAAACGGTTATGTTGTGCTCTTCGTGAAAAAAAATGGGCGCAAGTAAATAAGAATTGAACTCGTAATTAGAGTTTCCAATGGAAGATTGTCTCTTTTTCGTGTAAACATAAACTATAAAGAATACTTAAGATGAGATGCTCAAAATGCTATAAAACAAAGAGTTGAAGCTCTTTTATGGGATTTTTAATTGATTATTCAATTATAATATTAATAGAAAAATGAATTTCAAACACTGCTTGTTCATCTTCACTTTATTCTTATTGAATTTAAACCATGTTGCATTAGCGGATAGTCCAACAGATTTTGGAGTAGTTCAATGTACTCCTTGCTAAACCACGGTTTATCAACTCACTGTCAGCTCGAACCCTAAAGATAACACATCCTCGTTGACTTGTGATCATCTTGGTCGATTTATGAATTTTTTAACGATAAACCTGGGTGAAAGTACTGTTGCAGCTGTCGACAATTTAGTTCCAGACTTTTGTAAATTGGATAATCCTTGTCCATCGAGTGTCTCGACTGTTGGATATCAACAGCTTCGAAAAATTGTGCCAAAGAAATCGCGGGATCTAATAACGATATGATGGATTATGTTCTTGGTTATTTTAATGTATATTATCATGCGGTTCCTAATTATCAAAATCTATGTTTAAAGAGCTCAAATAATTCTGGTAAAGTATATTATGCTTTGATGATTAATTTATGTGATATTGTGATAAACATTACTTTTTTTTATTAGCGTTAGCGTTAGGATATGCATGGAATAACGTTGCAGTCGCCGAAACTATTTATATCAGTGAAAAATCTAATACCTCAACTCAAAAAACTAGTACACGAATCAGGAATCTTTTTCCACCTACACTAAAAATCTATTACTATCTAGAATCTAGCGCTAGTAATGGTAATGCAAAGATTTATAATCAATATATCGCTGATAATAAAATAACTGATGGATTCAGTGTCGTAACGGCTCCTGTTGATAAATTGTTTAAAAAATAAGCACAACGTGTCCTAATGCACCTACTAATACAACCAAGAGTGCATCTACGAGTCCAACTACGAGTGCAACTACTAACACTAAAGTAACACCTACCCCCGCTTTCAAGTCGAATGCTTTAAAAGTTCGAAATAATATTTATTTATCTTTTATTTTATTTACTTTTACCTGCCTTCTTATTCATGTAAATTTATTTTAAATATTAATATTTTCACTTTAAGCTATTAGCATTAACGTATTTTTTTGAAAAGTCGATGTGCGTAAGATGCAGCAGAAATTTTAAAATTAAGAAATATATGTTATTATAATAACTTGTAAATAAAATTGTTTTCATAGCATAAATGTGATAATTTGAAATATTTGAATAATTTGGCTAAATATAAATTTATACAAGTAAAAAGGGGTGCGGTATAATTATCCGAAACCCTTTTCTCAACACAACATAGCCATATCCCTCGACAACCATTTAACCGATCATTCATGACATTTTCTTGATAAATTTAGCTTGGTGCACTAAGCAAAAAATGTTGGAGAGGCAATATTATACAGTGGCTCACATAAGAAATAGAACACGGAAAAAAATGGTGATATTTGATTGTCTCGCCATTGAAGAATTATCAAAGACCAAAGAAAGTGCATTTCATTCATTAAACTAATAACAATCACTTAATACAATTTTTATTTTCATCTATCTTTTGAAATTAAACTAACTTGAATTTTTAATTTTTTTTAGTGTTCTGTCCATTATGACCGGTCTGAAGGATAATATTTAAAGGCAAGTTTCTCTTTAAGAAAATATCAGCTATTGTCAAAAAAACAATATTACACATCACTAAACTAAGATTATCATTCTATTTAACGTATCCACATACGTACATGTATGTGCGTAGATCGTCATCTTTTGTATAATCCATCACTATCGAGTACGTATTCGTTCGTAGCTGGGTTTTTAGTTATTCCATGATAACTAATAAGGCCAACAGCGCAGTTATAGCAGTCTGAATCTAATTTTGAAAAGTTAATTAGGTTGAAAAACAAAAAAGCAATATGCTTACACTTAAAGGTGTTCATTTTATAAACTCGGATGTAATTTGCTTTGAATTGTGTAATGATTTCAACACAATGTCGGTTTTTCACCATCGTTTAAATTTATTTTCTTCATGATCCCACTTGTAATCGTGAACAATGCTTTATAATTGATCCAAAGCCTCCTTTTGGATGATATTCAACTTGGTAAATCTTTCAAAAGGGATCCATTCAAATACATTATCATTATTAATTTTCTTGCATTCAATTATTAGACTGTCGATATCTTTATTTCCACTATACCATTCAACATAAATTCGTTTGTGATAACGAAGACATCCCTTTTTTTTTCGACAACCGGCCGGTACATTTACTAAATCATGAGTATCATGAACTGTACACTCCATTTCTGACAGTTATTACATGAACTACAATCATGAATATTGTGAACTGAACACGCTTTGCAGTAGTAATCGTTTCGACACCAAATACATTCACTAAAATCATGAGTTTTAGATGCCATCTTTGAGTTTATTAGTGATTATGACAGTGTTTTATTTAAAAAACGATGATTTATATGTGGTGTGAAGTCGTCGTTCACTTGTGTTTGTAAAACGATTTATGCATAAAAATAATACGCTTCCTTCAGAGAGAGAGAGAGAGAGCAGTCTTGAGCTTGTTCACAGTTTTTTGAAAGCTTTTACACTTAGAATAAATATTGTTCTACAATGGTTTCTAACTATTTTCTATGAGAGAATACGTTAACTGTTCATAATCATTAATATCGATATTACATGTATATGAAAAACACATTGTTAATATCGATATTACATGTATATGAAAAACACATTGTTAATATCGATATGCCTACAACTACAACTATATGTACTAAACAAAGCAAGTAAACTGAAGCTAATCTCGCAAGCTGATTATCTAGTGATTCAAGATATGCTTTATTTATTTTAATAGAATATAAGTTACGTGTAATCATGCGCTATTGGAAATTGAGTATTCTTATTTATATTGTTGAAAGTGTTTCATCATGAATTTGTAGTTTGTCTTATATATCTTCATTCTCTTAAATTTCAAGTTTATACTAAAATTGAAATCTATTTTGCGTTACCTAAAAATATATAACAATGAATTCGTGAAAAATAATAATAAATATAAGTTTACCTTCATCAAGAACATAATCATTTTGTATTGAAATTAATTTTGTGGTAATGTAAATTGCATTTGGGTGTAGTTGCTACCTTTTGTTCTCGTCACTTCTTCTCTCTTATTATGTGATTATATCTCTTCATTACATTCTTCGTTTTCATAAAGCGATTTTAACAGCTTACCAGGTTCTTACTCTTCATCAAGTTCCCTTAATTTCTTCTTTTCTAGTTCAAGACATTCAATGGTTTCTTCGTCTGTTCTAAGAGATTATAAAGAATTGTAATACTGGAAATGCAAAAGTATTCGGTTTCCACAACTCAATGAAATAGTCATGCAAGGCAGATAAACTCAAAAAATTTCTTAACAGTTGATCTATTTTCTGAAATATGATCCAACATTCTTCAATAATAAAGTGGCTACATCCAGGAACTTTATCTGGTATAGTAGGTCGTACTTTATTATAGACGTTTAATACAAGATTGTTATATGACTAAATGGTTGCAATCTTCTATGCAACCATCACAAACCTATAATGTCTACAACTTGAGTGTAAGAATTTCCATTTAACACCTCTGGATTTAATAGACTTTTTGATTATTTGCATAAGTCAAAACTCGACAATTTGAGCTTCTTATGCGTTAAAATATTTCTGGAGTGAAAATCACAATGCACGAATCATTTGGTGTGAATTTTTCTCAGACCACGATAAAATATAACTGGTCTAATATATTTTTCCAATTCAATTTTTCGAATAATATTTGTGCATTGTTAACCCAGCACTATCGAGTATTCATTCGTAACTGTGTTTTAATAATTCCTTATTATCTATGATTAAAAATACTAGTTTTATTTTTGCAAGCATAATACTTTTAGAAATTCACCTTGTTTATTAACTCTAATGTAATTTTATTTGAATTATGTAATGATGTAATGATTTCACACAACTGCTTTGTATTCATTAGCATATTGTTTAAATTATTTCTTCATGATCCCAATGGTTCCAACCAGGTTGCCTCATAAATTGTTCAAGAAACCTCCTTTGTAAGATATTCAAAATTGATGGAGATCCATTTCAATGATTCATATTATTTTCATCACCCATTTTTTTGACAATCAGTAAATTTTATTGCATCATACGTACACAAAAGAAGAGTATTATCTTGCATTTGATTTTATAACGACATTTTGTGTACTTTAATGTAAACTCAAACTTTCTAGTTTATTGCTGACATAATAATAAACATAACACGTTAATGACATTATATGCGAAAAAATAAAATACTGTACACTTGCGTCAACATTAAAAACGTAGCAAATTGTTTTTATAAGAATATACATAAAAAATTGATTTTAAAAAGAATATTAAATCTAATGATAAATATATCCTTAATCATAAAGAAATTGATAAACAATAGTTTTGGCTATGCTTTAACTCGAAACACAAATTCAATGATCATGTTTTAGACTAAAAAATATAATTAATAAAGTGCAAAGTATTTTTGATTTCGTATGTTAAACATTTATATGAATTTTAATTAAATATGATTTATATTTTTGAACCAAAATGCACCTATATCAGTAGGAATTGAAATTAATTTTTTAGTAAAGATTCTACTGATGTACATTGCATTTGAATGGTTTTTTTTGCTTATATTTGTAGGAATGCTTTTTTGCAAGTTCACCTTATTATCTAATTCATCTTGTTATCAAGTTCTTTTAATTTTTGTCATTCTAGTTTAAGACACTCTTTAATCTCTTCATACGTTTTGAGATATTTTAAAGAGTTATAGTGCTGAAAATGCAAGGCATTCCATTTCCACTGTGAACTGTTGATGATGCGATATCTTCGATAGAGTAGATACAGTCTTAATGTTCCTGAACAGTTGGTTTGTTTTGAAATAGGTTTCCAATATTTTCAGTAATAAATTTGCACTACCTGAAAACATTATTTAGTATCTTAGGCCGTTCTCCATTATACAAGATAAATATCATGACTCCGCTCACCGAATGATCATTCACTTGTTTAGATGATCATCCCAAAACTATAAATATCAGCAGCTTTAATATATGACTTTTCATTTAGTATCTCTGAACTCATATAAGGAAGGATTCCGCAAATTTTTGATTAGAATTTTTGATATTTGCTGGGACCAGTAAGTCCAAAATTAGGCTTAAAATATATAGTGACACTCAAAAGTATTGCATCATCTGGATGATAAATTTCACGATTTAATAACATTTCATATACAATATCAATTAATATATAAATAGACTCATTATAATACCTATATATGGACAAAATATCATATAATATTTATTTTCCATATCATATATTTAAAAAAAATAAACCACATTTTACACCAAATTAAGTGATCTATTTCTTTTGATCATTTTGATAAATAAAAATAAAATTGAGAATACTCACTAAACTAAATAAATTTATGAAAATTTAATCCCCAATTTTAATTATCACCTAGTATAGCCACCCTTTGCATTAATTATATCTTGAATAAGTTCCTTTATACTTTTAATTAGCTTCATTAAAAATGTGTTATTAATTTTGATTCAAATTTTTTGTATCACATCCCACAGTTGATCTTGAGTATGGATACCAGTTGATGACATTCTCAAATGATGATCTATTTCATTTCAAAGATGTTCAATGAGGTTAAGGTCAAGTGATTGGACAGGCTAATTGAGCAAATGGATATCATTATCATCAAACTATTCATATGTAGATTTTGTCATGTGTTTCAGATCATTATCTTGTTGAAAGATATCATTTTTATTAATTTTATACCACTGGATTGTTCCT